TTTCTGTTTTCCATCAAGGCAGTCACTGAGTAAACTGTACAACTGTGCATTCATGTTAAGAAGCAATCTACTGTACCAGTTTTTTTATGCAGTGCTAATGTTGTCAGAGCAGGTTTGTTTGAATTTCCTGCAGTACTCAGAGAAAGCAGACTTGTAGCCAGCATGGTAACAGAGTACACACTTCCGCACCGTAAATGTCATTACCATTATGTTGCCGACTTCAAGCTGTCATGTGCAATTACAGTACAATCTGCAGGGATACACCAAATTGTCTGTCACTACCAAACCGAAGATTACACATCACAACTTTGGTTGTAAAATGCGGCTGACTCTCAACTCTTTCATAACTCGCTACACGTATGAGTACATTCGCAGTGTAAACGTAGCCACAAACGCTGACACAGAGGAAGGAAGGTATAACAATTGGTGCTAAAGTGGTGCAAATAGGGCAGAGTGACAGAGTGGGCAGAAGAATACGGAGGTAAACAGACCAGATGTGGATGTGGAGACATTAGTAAGAGATGTATCAGCAGTGAGACAGCAGTTGTGGTGGTTACCATGTAAAGTATGAGCTGCAGAGGCATGGCTGGTGTCTGCAGTAACTTGTGTCAGCCACTAGTGTGTTTCCGCCTTTGTGAGAGTGCGTAGGCTTGTGTTTTTGTGTATCGGAGAGGGTGATGTGGTGGAAGACTGGGGGGGTATGCTGTGTGCTGACAGCTGGCTTCTATAAATAAATGTCGCAGGCAGGGGGGAAACACAGGGGTGGAGAGAGAAAGAGCGAGGGAGCTGGGAAGAGTGAGAAATAAAGGGGAAGGAGAGGGGGAGGGAGGGAGGATGGGAGGGGTGATAGAGCAGGACTGTTACAGATGTACTGAAAGACTTAAGAATGTGGTAAGTGTCCTGAGCTCCGGTCATGACTTACCGAACACACACCACATGTCACCACCGTCTGAACCAATCAGCAGCCCCGGGCGGGATCATGTGCTCCCCTGCATCTGTCTGTCTGCTTCTTCTTCTTCATCTGTCACGGCTTGAGGACCACAAAGTCTGTTGCTGTTACAGTTTTTATCTCACATCAGTGTTGCCCTGTCAGCTTCCTTCCCTGTCTTGTTTTGACTCTCTCGCGTTTGAAGCAAGGATGCCGTCAAATCCAGAAAACAGCAGGAAAAGGGACAGAAAACAAAGAAAAAACAGAGAGAGAAAGAGGGAGAGAATGAAAGTAAGGCGATAAACAAGACATATAACACTGTGTCGTGTCATGTTTTTTTGTCACGCAGACAGGAAAAGTATCAGACAGTTTTATGAACCCCCTGTGAAAGTGACTGTCTTAGAAGACATGGCTTACATTCAGCTCTCCCTCCATTAATTTGTCATGTACTTGGTCACTGAGCCCTGTCGTATCATATCCTGTAGACTAGCTGCTTAGTAACAACGGGCTGAGATGTACTGTATCACTGACACCGGCAACTTTCACTTTCCTGCCTCCTGTTACACCATTTCATTGCCCTCCAAAGTGGTGTGTCTATGTGTGTGTGTGTGTGTGTGTGTGTGTGTGTGTGTGAGGCTGTGGGCTGGGTTTGGTTCCCTGTCTTGGCCCAGCAAAGGCAAACTGAACACCTGCCTGTTTTACTGCCTCACTAATGTACCTGTCTTACATTTTTTACCCTGTCACTCTGCACATCTTTGTGCCTCCATGATTGTGATTCAGAGTTTCTGCTGCCACAACTCAGACAGAGGTTGGGGAAAGAGTATTAAAAGGAGTAAAAGGTGGGAGTGTGGAGGCAGCATGATTAGGGAGGAGACGGAGGATGATAACATGGCCCCACTAGTGAGTGGGTGGGGTCTGTATGTTATCAGGTGGCATCAGGAAGCCTTTGCTCTGACTTCCTCTATTTCTGCTTGCATAGCAAATCATAAGCAGACTTGTGAAAGACGTGTTTCTGTGGGCAGAAGGTCACATGGTTGTAATGTACTGCAGCATATTGATGGTGGTGTGTAAGTGTATGTCAGGAAGAGAACGACATCAAGGCCATACCTACTGAGTCAACACTGGGGTTAACCAAATCTGCTGGGGGATCTGGTGTCCTCCCACCCCTCCAGGAAAAAAAACCCATACAGTCCATCATTAGCAAGTACAACTCTATAGTATACTATATGATTATGCAACAAATGAAAGCTACTACTCTCTACATAAATTACACATGTTTCTGTTAGGGTGTGAATGTCAGACCCTGTTGTGAGCCAGCAGCTCTGAGAGGTTTGGAGAACCAAAATTAGCACAACAGTCCAGTAACTTGGTTCAGAGCTTTGCTTTTTAACAGTCTTTTAATATCAATATACATCAAACACACGTCATCAGTACAGACACAAATACATACTGACATGAAGGAAAGGCATAGATGTATTAAGAGACCCAGATACAGTGTTGGGGGCGGGCCCCTGTTCAGTCCTGTGAAAGTTGGGTAGTGGCGCATGAAGCTAAAATGGTTCAACTGCCGCCATGAAAATTACCCGGATGATCAGCTCTGCTTCTGCATCATTTAGCCCATAGAGCAGGTGCACTAGAGACTTGAGATGGTCAAGCCGGCTGCTTCAAGTTTAGCGCTCTGCTAGCTTGAATGGGAAAAAAATGATTCAATTGTGCATCTCTTCTAGACCTTCCTTATGTTCTCGGACCGAATGGATCAAATCCTAACTGTGAAACAAGTCAAAAAAATCTATCCCCTGATTTACAGACATCTCTTTCATAATGTAAGTATCAGAAAAGGCCCTTTTGAGCCCAATGGAAATCACGTGATGGGCTCCAAAGTTGTAATTCCAGTGTTTGGCCGCTATGTGAAATTGGCCTCAAAGCCTGGCAAACTTCCTTGGGGCCTGAGAAGGGGTCCCTAGCCCACAGACAAAAGGCCAAATTACTGAAACAAGGACTTAAGGTACTCAATGATCAGACTAGTACTAGCACGGGTAAAATTAAACAGACATTTTAAGCTATAATAGATGTCACATATAACAGTCTTTTTATTGAGGCCTTGAAGTACAATGACTCTACAACATCCTTCCACATCCACAAGTCCCTCTGGGTACAGTCCATATGACCAAATCCTGGTGAAGCCTAGTCCCGGTCATGACAGCGAACACGGAAGGAACCAGACTTTGGTGTCATTTCTATTGGAGTCAATAGAGCGGACACTTCAAACCACACTATAATCCATCATATCTTTGCTGTTTTAACTTTGACTGAAAATCCTGAGATTTTTTTTATTTAAATATGCATGTTTATTTGTGAGTGAGTTAGTTTTCCTTGTTATTTGTCTCCAAACAGATCATGGGTCTGTCCAAGTGAGGCTGAGATGCAGATGCTAGATGGAGCCATGATCTGTTTGGAGACCAATAACAAGGAAAACTAATGCACATATTGAGATAAATATGTCAATCTACATCACGTAATGTGTGTTTTTTAATACGGTGGAAAGATTTTTCAGTCAAAGTTAAAACAGCAAAGACATGATGGGTTATAGTGTGATTTGCTGTGCCCGTCTGGCTCCTAAACACTGTCACAGTCTTTCATATTTTCCTTGTCCTCAACCAGGAAGTGGACTTTGGAAAAAAAAAATATGATTAGAAATCAAAACAAACAGGAAACAATAAAACAAATACTGGAATGAAAACATCCTAAATATATTGATGTATAAATCAACCAAACTGGATCCTAGGTTTAGATGATAAACACATCACATAACCAAAAGAAAATATTCAACTAAACTAATAAATAAAGGAACTTTTCATCTGACTGGTGAAGGAGTGAGTAAGTGGAGCCTCCTCACAGGAGCTTAACATAAATGATTGACACTTTACTCAGACTTCACGAGGACTATCTGACAGATATAAGGTAACAAAGACTGCTGGGGTATGGCAACACAACTTGGACAAACAACACAGAGCTGCAGAACACTGTAATGCTACAACCAGTAGTTATGCTAATGGCAATTTTTATTATAATTTTTTATTTGCCTGTTGTAGAATAGCACTTTTTTAAATACATACATTTTTCATCAATATACCGGAGAAGAAAGAGCATTTTTAGTATAGTGAGTATAGGGGGGATGTGGCCCTCAATATGTGGGGATGTAATCACAGCTGTGAGCGACATACAGAAAGGAAGAGAGTGCATGTGTCAGTGTAATATTAGTTATGTGTGTATGTAAAAGCAACATCTGCTCTGTCTCCAGCATCCAAACAACATCTTGACACTGTCAGTAGTGCTGGCCACGGGCCAACAGAGGATCACCTTACACTTTCTATCGGCATCTTAATATAAACCACCATATAGATGAATAAACAATCATGCTTATTCTTAAATACCTATTAGCTTCTCTCCTGCAAAGATATACCATCAGTTTGAACTTGTACGCACCAGTTTCACAACTTGTTTAGTTTACATTGTCTTGAATGTTCATGTGATTCATTTGTGATACTTCAGCTGTTTATTACATAGACACAGTGTACGCTGCCCTCTTCATGTCTTCCTTGTAGCTTCCACTTAGGCCCATTTGTTTTCTTCAGCCAGAGTTTATTAGTTCAGAAAAATGTGCCTAGGGTTGCTGCAACAATTACAACCCCTTTAAAAACATCTGTGGTCCAACTGGCCAAAATATTTAAGTCCTTACGAAGAAACAGGATGTTTTTTTTCCTCAGCGTTTACATCTTGGAACAATAAAACAAAAGCAACCAAATGATTTCAGCCCAGAAGCCACAACAGTGCAATAAAGACTGTAAAGAATCTGTGTGGTGAATTGTTTGCTTCACCACACATATTGAGCCGAGAGCCTTGTAATAAATGTCATAATCCTGTAAAAGAACAGCCTCTAAATTAATCAGATACTGCATCCAAAGGACCTGTCAGCAGCTCGCCTTCTCAAAAGAAGCAGCTAAATTAATTCTGAGTGTGACTTCTTTTCCTCTGTCTGACTGTGCCTCCTCTCTCTGCTCTGTCCCCGCAGCCTCTAGGACAGTGGTGCAGGCTGCTGCCCAAAGATGCTGCCAAGATGCCGGAAAGCGCGTGGAAGCTGGTCTTCTACACCATGTCGTGGTCATACAGCACCTACCTACTCTTCTTCACCTCCTACTCCTTTTTCCATGACCCGCCCTCTGTCTTCTACAGTAAGAAACACAACAGTGTGAACACATAGTGTCATCTAGGGTCATTTATTTAGCAGTTTAGGCATTAGTCCTCTTGAATCTGCTCCTCAAGATGTTACAAGAAAAGAGCCTTATTAATCAGTACATATTTGTAACTTGAATTGAAATTGAATTTACTGCTTTTAATTCATTTTCAGTATTTGAAGTCTGTCCATATTAGATAAACATTGACCTCAGAAAAAGCATCTCTAACAGCACAGTAACGGAGGCAGTTTCTTCGCAAACCTCTCAAGGAACTGAAGTCATTTTAATCTAATGAAACAGCAGGCAGCACGCCTTAATCCTATAGAGACTCTGTTGGGGTAAAATGCCACTTTGAGTATTCAAATAGAAGGATATTTATAGCAGAGCATACTGGATATGCAGCCTGGTGGTTCATGCATATGCTGAGCCTTGAATTGATCACTCTTGCATGTTATTCAATCGTTAGCAATCAGCTGTTATTGATACAAAAAACGGTGGAAATCATCAGAGGCCCCACGATACGACATTGTGATACTTAAGTCACGATACAAGATACAATATTACTGGGATTTAAGATGTTTAGTACCTTTTCTCAACTGCAAATTATTTCCTTAAAGCAGGGCTGTCAAACATACAGCCCGGGGGCCAGAACTGCCCCACCAAAGGGTCCAGTCCGGCCCTCAAGATGACTTTGCACACCTAGTGTTGATGCACATGTGACGGCTGAGAGCTTTCAGGAGCAGTTTAAACAGTGAGCTTATACTTCATGTAAAATACTGCCTTAATGGCTTTTTCACTCTGACCAGAATACAGCTCTCTGAAACAACAATGAATATTTTCTGTGGTCATATTCAGAGATATTGAACGTTGCGCAAAATATTGTCAACCAGCAGCTTATGTACAAATAAATCTATATCAGACTTGATATTTATAGGTTATTATGCAGTGGTTTTACTGGTCCGGCCCACTTGAGATCAAATTGGGCTGTATGTGGCCCCTGAACTAAAATGAGTTTGACACCCCTGCCTTAAAGGAAAACATAACGACGGCACAGGATATAGTTTTCTGACCGTTCGTCTCATTTCAGTCAATTTTATTGCAGTAAAATGTATCTAGTGGACTAAAAAGCAATTGATTTTATTATTTTTGCAGGCCACCAAAAGTTTAATTTGTATTTGCAACGTTATTAAAAAGTCCATACTTGCCGTCTGTGAATCAGTACAATATATCCATGCAAAATATTGTGATATTCGTTTTTTTCCCCCACCCTTACATAAACCCCTTCATTTTATAGTAAAAAAAGGGGAAAGGACAGAAATGAAATAACAATGATCCAAAATAGAGCAAAGTTTTATGACAGAATACATTAAGTTTTGCCCCAACACTTATCTGCATAATTGCACCTAATGGATGACTATCACCACTAATGGAGGATATATGTGAGATGAGGACTCCACTTATAATCCAGCGACATCTTTAATAGTCTCTCTGCCTCCTGCATTAGACACGGAGGTGTCAGTGCTCCGGTCGAAACTCCATCGCTCTGAGTGGAGCTAGCAAAGGCTGGTTGACAGCGCCAGGTTCATCTTTAATAGCTGCATCACCTGTAATAGCTGTCAGCCTGAGATGTGTACAGGAGCAGTGTACTGTAATGTTCCTGGACTGTTAGGCAAGCAGAGAGAGGAAGAGAGAGGGACAGAGAGAGCTATGAAGCTGAAAAGAGAAGAGTTTATTTGGTGGATTAAGAGAAATCAAAGTAACACATTGTCGGACGCAAAGAGGGGTTTGCACTCTGAAGAGAAAAGAGGAGAAAGAAAAAAGCTTCAGTCTCTGGGAGAAAAAAAAAGTCTCCAGTTCCCATGCCTCCTCTTGGCAGCTCTTCTGTTGTGATCCATCTAGCAGCCTTCTCCTCAATGTTTAATGACGGAAGGTCCAATCAATAAACATTACACACGGCCCGAACGTAACCCCATCCCACCAGAGACAAACCTTACTCAAACATCGGAGGAGAAAGTTTCCATCCAACATCTGATAGGTTTGAGAGACGTGAGCTTAGCATAGCAGCCTTAACGTACAGTTGGCCTGTTCTGCCTACTGGTACTTTTGAAACCCTCTCTAATTCCTCCGAGGTTAAACCTGATCCCCTAAGCCTCCTCTTCATACTAACTACCCCAGCCGACCCTTCACATCTGGTGAGGTCACTGTATATAGCTCAGTATCTAGACAGATTGGATATACTGTATTTGTATCCAAAAAGAAGTGTCTGTCAATTAAAAACAACTGTTTTAAATTAGAGTTTGGAGAAAACTAAAAGTGTAAAAGGTGACAAATTAATTGCAAAATGGAATATTTTAAGATATCCTCATGCAAATCTGCTCAAGAATGTATTGTTTCATTAAAACACATAATGAAGAAGAATAATTGGCACATTTTACGTTAGTTTTATGCAGATTTATTCACCTTAAAGATTATATGATTAGCTGTTTAAAAATGTAAATGATTTCTCCAGCCTCCACAGTCATTTGTGATCTGAAATGTGTTAGAAAATGGACGTACAGATGCTGAGTCACGCTTAACATGGTGTCCAAATTCCCTGGTTTTAATCAGGACATTATATAGGTTTTATTTATTTATTTATTTATTTATTCTTTTATTTAATAGTCATTGAGAAGTCAATTTACGTGATACTGTAAACACATCATGAACGACTGCGTTATTACACAGTTCTTAAATCCAGTTTCAGTAGAAAACTGCACTTTAAAGGTCCAGTGTGTAGGATTTAGGGGCATCAATTAGCAGCAATGGTAAATAATATTCATAACTATGTTTTCATCCATTTATAATCACCTCAAAATGGATCAAAAAGAATGGTTGTGTTGAGTTTGTTCATATATATACAGTACAGGCCAAAAGTTTGGACACACCTTCTCATTCAATGCGTTTTCTTTATTTTCATGACTATTTACATTGTAGATTCTCACTGAAGGCATCAAAACTATGAATGAACACATGTGGAGTTATGTACTTAACAAAAAAAGGTGAAATAACTGAAAACATGTTTTATATTCTAGTTTCTTCAAAATAGCCACCCTTTGCTCTGATTACTGCTTTGCACACTCTTGGCATTCTCTCCATGAGCTTCAAGAGGTAGTCACCTGAAATGGTTT